TGACCAAGCTATTGATCTGTGGTTGATTTTTTTAAGCGTCTGTGATCTCGCTATTGAATTGTAATGATTTTTTAAAGTGTATGTGACCCAGTTATTGAAGTGTTGTGGGTTGTTTTTGGTGTCTGTGACCTAACTATTGAAATGTTGTGGGGTTTTTTTGGTGTCTGTGGCGTTACTATTGAGCTGTGACTTTGAAATTCATAATTTGTAACTTAAAAAAAGAATATGTGACCTCGAAATAATATATGACCTACAAAATTTTAAATCTGTGACCTCAAAATAATCTGCGATCTACAAAATTTTTTATCTGTGACCTTGAAATAACCCGTGACCTACATATTTTTTGATTTGTGACCTTGAAAAAGTCGCCGGATCGAAGCAGTCGCCGGAATTAAAGTGCTGTCGGAGTAGTCGCCGGTCGCCGGAGTAATAGTCGGAGCAATGGTGGGGTGGGGTGGGGTAATTCTATTATATTACAGTTAAATATTTAATTTAATATAATAATTCTGAAATGTAATTAATTAATTCAAGAAAAATCTGATTTTTGTAATTGTAAACTTTGGGGCCTGATTTTTAATTTTGGAATAGTAAACACCTGAACTGTAAATTTTTCCCAAATCAGAACTTTAAAGATCCAATTTCAAAATTCAGATATAAATTTTATTTATACAAAAATCAGATATTAATTCATCTCTATCTAAATTATAATTACGCAAATCTTAAAAATCCCAAATCATTTATCACATCTTCATTCTCTCTCTCTTCTTCCCCTCGCAAGGCTGTCTCGCCGAAGATGACGGCGGAGCTGTCGTTGTGAGCAGCGAGTGGCGCTCCCTGCGATCGCCGGCTGGCGCTGATGTGAACGGCATCGTCGCGATCTGTTTTTGTCTTTTTTTTTTTTGATGAGGTGTGCGGTGGTTGGGGATGGGTGTGGTGGAATTGTGACCAATTATATGGAATTGTGAGTTTACTTAATAAAATATATGTTTAATTAATTAATTTATAAATAAAATTTGAAAAAGTCTACGGTTTGAAATTTTAAACCTTGATCTCTTAAATTTGAAATCAGTAAAACTTAACCTCTTAGTTATGTAATATTCCCTAATTGAAATTGAAGATGACCATCAATTCAGAATTTTTTTTAGTACTCTCATACAATACTCTATAACTGTTCAATGTTATACATACATATCAATAAATATTGACAAGATTGCTAAGTTTTTGTATTTTGGGAGTACTAGAAATTTTCTTTATTTCAAGGTTGGTTATTGTAAGAAATAATCCCTCGAGAAACCTTGATTTCAGGCTCAGAAAACAACCAAACGAACACTACACTACCAAGGCTCGACCCAAAACTCCTACATCCGGTTGCTCTATGATTTACATCCTCACAAAGGAGATATGGTTGTGGTGATACGCAAGCCCACACAGGGAGGAAGGAGAAGAGAATAACAACGGCGGAACTCACCAAGAAATCCACCAAAATCGGTTGCCTTTCTCTCACGACTCCTCTCTTGCACACCATTTCACACCCTCTCAAAACGGTTGGGGATGGGGGAATAATAAAGGGGTCAATTATATCACTTAATTTGGGCCAAATACTCCTTCCAAAATGGGCCAAAGTCCACTAAATGGGCTACCAAATAAGTCCCACAACTAACTACACAAATGGGCTAACAACATAATCATCCAAACCTAAACTTGGGCCATCCGAGAGTATAGGTCGTTTCCGAGTCGAGCCAAGTCTATGGTGTCGTTAAAACAAAAGTATAGGTCGTTTCCGAGTCAAGCCAAGTCTATGGTGTCTCTAAATAATCCGACAACTGTTTTACATCATCGCCCGGATTTATTGGGTATCAAAACCCAACAGTCATGTTTGTTATGAACTGCATTTTTCAATTACATGATTGAAGCATTTTTCTTCTTATTTATTACTTTAAGTGAAAATAAAATAAATAATGACTTTTGTCGAAATTAATTAAATAACTCAAGTAATCCAAGGAAAACGATGAAAATATAACCAGTATCGAATTTAAGTCAAGAATTTGTCCAAAATATACAATAATGATTTATACTTGCATTGAGATACTTGAGATTGAGAAAAGGTTTTAAAAAGACGCTCATGACATCTAATGTCTAACTATATTATGGTCGGAGGAGTGCACCATTCAAGGCATGCTAAAAATTAAAATAAATAAATACTATGCGACATGCAACTTTAGGAAGGAGGAATTGAGACAAGTAACTAAGCACCTACATCCCACGAGGTGTTGAGAAAAGTTAAAGTAGGACAATTTTTCTACTTTATGCAACAATCATGAATCATGACATGCTTAATTAAGCACGTTAATTTAGACATATATCGTACGGTTATAATTGAAACACGTTGATGCTTCTGTACTCTGATATTATTCGAAAGAAAGAAAGCAAGTTGATAAGAGGAATTGATGTAGGCTGTTTGAAGATGTACAATTGGGTTCCATTTGGAAGAATGTCACCTTCTTGACTAAGACAATTGCAAAATGGATGCCTCACAAGTAGATTGGACAAAACACAAGACTTACATGCAATGAAATGTTTAATAATTACACTTAAGCCAAGGCCAGCATTCGTTAGTAAAATTTCGCTCTAACTCTTGATCACTTTCCTACTAGAAGGTGATTGTGTATATTTGTAATAGTACTTCATGTTCAAGAAATTCGTAACTTTTTCTTACTTTTCGTTAATATTGTCAAAAACATCATCGACAGAATAGAAAGATTTTATACCTATAGCAGGATTAACCTGTTTCATCAAAGTCATGAAAGCACATGTCTTATATTTAGCAATGTCCCACTAATCTTGGAACACCAATAACTCAACCCGTAGGACGGTGAACTTGTACTCGAGCTTCTGATTACCCTAAACATCTTTTTCTTTCACCTCTTATCAAATTTCAAATCACATTTAATTAAAAAAATTGATAAAAATTTAAATCAAAGTCAACAATTAATTTCGCGTTACTCATAATTCTTATCAACTTCTAGATCACTCATTTCATTAACTTATATCAAAACAATGGCATAATCTACTAGAACTGCTGCAAGTTTTCATATTCAATCACACTACGTAAAATTAGAAAAACATTAAAGATAATTCATTGAAAAATCTGGATATAGAGCTTGTTTAGGTGAAGCTCTCATTGGATATCGATGAAAAATATCTAGCAGGATTATCAATATCTGATTAAAAGATAGAAAAATGCGATACACGTGCTGTTCTCCTTGCACCGGCCACCCTGATTTCTTTAATTATACTGTAATTTTCCCACTATAGTCGACAATTTCACTCTTTCAAAATACACTACTTTTTCTTTCTCCCGAAAAAAACTCGTAAAGTAAATAATGGACGAGTTTATCCCTTCTTCATCTTCACTACTTTCCGCATCTCAACATCAGCCAGCAAGCCTCCAACAAAGGCTTCAGCACATACTTGAAAACCAGAGAGAGTGGTGGATTTATGCCATTTTCTGGCAAACCTCCATGGATGATGAAGGAAGCATCTTTTTAACATGGGGAGATGGCTTTTCCCGAGGGACCACAGTCATTAAAGAAATTCAGGGTTTGATTGATGAAAATTATTCTGATAACCATAGTAATATTGTGACTGATGCTGAAAGGTTCTATTTGAATTCACTTGCTAAATCTTTCCCTCTTGGCTATGGTGTTCCAGGCAAGGCCTTTAGTACAGGCTCCATAGTTTGGTTGAGTGGGGACAATCAACTTGAGATCCAAAATTGTGAAAGAGCTAAAGAGGCACAGAGCCATGGTGTCCAGACCATGGCTTGTATTCCAACTTCAAATGGAGTAGTTGAACTCGGATCAAAAGTTATCATAACGCAAAACTGGAGCTTGGTTCAACAAATTAAGTGCTTATTTGAATCAGATCTCTTTGGTCTAGGTCTGGTTTCACAACAGTATTCAAAACTTGGTATCAATCCTGATGATATTGATATACTAAGTCAAATTCAAGAAGATGCCCAACAGAAGATGATGGAAGCACTTCCCAGTTCCAAGATTTCAGATTCAACTTGCCTATTTAAAATACGCAAGAAGAGGGGGAGAAAACCTCTTGTTGGGCGGCCTAACGTGCCATTAGTAAACCATGTGGATGCGGAGAGGCACAGAAGAGAGAAGCTGAAGAAAGCGTTTTGTGAACTCCAGTCGGTAGTACCATACGCGTCAACAATGGACAGAGCATCGTTGCTATCAGCTGCTGTATTGTACATTAAAGAACTGAAAGAGAGAGTTCAAGAATTTGAGTCCAAGAGAATGAAGATGGAGCAACTAGAAATTGAAGTGAAGATTGTTGGCGAATATGGTATGATCAGGGTACAGTCGGAGAATACTAATTATCCAGTTACTAGATTAATGGATGTCATTCAAGATCTTGAGTTACAAGTAAACCACGCTAGCATGTCAAGTGTTAACGATCTCATGCTTCAAGATGTTGTTGTTAGGATTCCTGGTGATGGATTAATCACAAGTGAGGATGCATTAAGAACTGCTCTAGTCACAGGATTGGAGAAATAACTTTTTTATCGAATTATTACCTATTTCGCTACATATTTCAACGTACGAGTCGTAAAACGGTATAAAAATAATGCTCAAGTAGCACAATAAAGCTAACACTAGTAAATTCAGATGAGAATGTATTATATTGTTTAGTGTTCACTTGTTGAGTTCATTAGTGCATTAATCGATGGAGTATGTAAATTTATGCATCGAACAGTAAAATTCAATGTTCTTCGTTTCGTTTGATTCTGAACGTGTTTAATTGGAAATATTTTAATCTGACAATGTACGTGCTGCCAAAGATGGACCTTTTTTTTTTTGGGGGGGGGGTCCAAAATGCAAAGACAAAAATTAATGAATTTTGCACAATAATACAAATCTTGACTTTTTATTGTGATCAATAATTAATATGGGAGCTGTTATTTATATCCACGAAAGTTATATATTTATTCCCAATTAAACCATTTGTATAGAACCATTTCATCTGTAAAAATGCTAGAATACTCACATGGGGGTGGGCCCCATGCGAATAAAATATTATTATAAAAATGGGGCCCACCCCTCATGTGTGCGTTCTATTATTTTTACAGAATTTTTTTTCTCTATAACAGGAGCATTGTTCATTTATTCCACTCCATATCTATCTCTATTAATTTTTTTTTTTTTAAAAAAAAAATACTATTTTCATTTATGTCATATTCCAATATCGTTCTTATTAAATTCATTCACTTTATATATTTATCTTACTCAAAATCTATTCCTATTACAATTTCAAATTTTAAAAGAACACTATATTCATCCCTATTATATATAACATTAATCTTCTCACAATTCTATAAATAAAAAATTATAAAATGGAATTCCATAAACCACAAACCCCTATAGTCATCGTCACCCTTAATGTGATATAGACTCTATTATTTTATTAAAATCGAACATAATAATTGAAAGGACTCGTAGTATTTATTCCATCAAAAGGGAAAAATTGATCAAAGAAACTAGCATTTTGCCTACCACCGTAAAAACATGACAAAGAGGTAATTCTCTATAAAACATTGAAAAACAAGTTAATATTTTGAGGTGGTTGGATTAATACTTTGCCAATCTTTCTCCGATGTAAAAACAAGAAGTACTCGTTGTTTCAATTGATGAAATGTACACTACAACAAAGTTCACAATGCATGCCGTAAATAATTTTTTACGATGTACAACAACATGTCGTATAAAGTAATGCCGTAAAAAGTAGGTCACTTTTTACGGCATGCATCGTTTGCCGTCTAGAGAACGCCGTTATTACCTTTTACGGTGTTTAATGAATCCATGCCGTAAAATGTGATGTACTTTTTACTGCATACCTCTGAACGCCGTATAATATATCATGAAATTTACGGCATGCTTAGTAGCACCCTGTTATTACCGTTTATAGCGTTCAGTGAATGCATGCCGTAAAATGTAATATACTTTGTACACCATACCTCTGAACGCCGTAAAATATATCATGAAATTTACGTCATGCTAAGTAGCACGCCGTAAAGACCAATTTAATTTTTTAAAAATTATTTATTTATTTGATTACCGGCAAACCTATAATACTTACAAAATAAAATTAATCCATAAATAATAATGTTTTCCATTGTTTTGATAAATAAAAATATTGAGTACAGTTCAATATAATATGTCAATGTAAAATTAATCTCAACAATTCTCAAAAGACTACTATTTCAAAAAAATAAAATTTTTAAATCATATCAAAGCTAACTTCTTTGACCGACAATTTAGTTATCCTACAAAATATCAACTCCCTACACACCACAAAAATAATAAGAGCATAATTAATAAACTTAGAGTGAGCATGTAAATCAAAATTTCACCTTTTACGGCATGCTAAATAATTCTTTACGGCGTACATCAACATGCCATATAAAGCAATGCCGTAAAAAGTGGGTCACTTTTTACGAAGTGCAGCGTACGCCGTCTATAATATGCGTAGCTTTAAGTTTGCATAAGACAACGATTGCAGATATCCTCATATACTTTGTGCCACCAGGATAAAAAGAATTTCGACGACTTCATATAAATTTGAAAAGTCTTTCTCTCTATCTTCATTCTCAGGTTCTAAATATTGTCATCCTGAAAAAATGTATCTCTATACATCCTATATATCTCTAAATTTTCTACATCTTCGGGAGGCAATGATGCTGCATTCGATTTTCCCCCATGAGATACCCAGGTAGTATATGTAGAATCCATGCCATTAATGATCAAATGCCCATATATTATATCAAAATGTTGGTGGAATAGATTTTTGCAACATTTGCAAGGACATATGACATTTTCTGGATTCCCCGCATTG